GTGTGTTAAATAAACTGCACAAATAGACAGACACTACAGCTCACTCTCATTTTAAGACTTGATTCTTCAATCATAGCTCTCAAGCTATCGAGACTCAAATGTTGGAAGCAATGTGTGACAAAGACCCAAAATGAGGGGGACTGAAAAAGCGTTCATACAAGAAGCTTAAAATGTTGGGGTTTGATTCCCGAGTGTCAATAACTTTCTATAGTTTCAATTTCAAGATTCTTTATTTCTGAGGTAAACAATTTTCAACAAAGCTAGGAGACACCAAATCTGGAGGTATCGTCAGGACTAAAATGAGTGACAACTTTCAAAGTAAAGGATACTTGAGACATATGTCTGCAGCCCGATCCAGAATAGCACTGATGCAAGTAATCCCAATGGGACTTTATGTGTAAATCAATGCTACTTCATATGAATAAGGGATGCAGAACTAAGGCCTTACAGTCTACTTGTGTAAGATGACAGCAGAAGCAGATGGGCACTGCCTATTGTTTGCAAACATTAAAGTAAGGAGAAAGTGATGCTGCCTGAGACCCCTCCCCCTTTGGTATAGAAGGTTTTCATAGAATATCAGGGTTGGAAGGGACCTCAGGAGGTCATCTAGTCCAACCCCCTGCTCAAAGCAGGACCAATCCCCAGACAGATTTTTTTTTTTTGCCCCAGATCCCTAAATGGCCCCCTCAAGGATTGAACTCACAACCCTGGGTTTAGTAGGCCAATGCTCAAACCACTGTGCTATCCCTCCCCCCAATGCTATCCCTCCCCCCATATATGTGTGGGTGCACAGTAAATAAATATATAAAGCTTACATTAAAGTTATTTTCATAGCATACAAACAGAGAAGTTAGATAAAATATATAATACTCCAGCTGGAAGGCTGCAGTGTAACACTACTTTATTTCTCAGAACACACAAGAACTCCAAAACAGAGAGAAACAAAACTGGCTGCTCCCTAAGCAGAGAGGTACAGCTCACTCACCTTACTCTAACTGGCAGTCTGCACACTGACTCTGCTGAATGCTCCCATTCTTTGCTGCAGAGCCCACTAGTCTGCATGTGGGACTAGGGACAGACAGACAACTACACACACACTGCTATTAACACAAGAGCTTGCAGTTCCAACACAGTCCTCGGGACACCATAAAGCTCATGGCCAAATTCAGCCCTAGTTGAAGGAAGTACAACTCAAATTGCTATATTGTATTTTATATGTTAAGGGGATAAAAAACTGGCTTGCGGGCCAATCTTTAATCAAAATGATGTTTTTGGTATAAGCATAACAGATGCACTTTGGATGTGGTTTGGAAATTGGGGCAGGTAAAAAAGGTAAAGTCTGGATGCACCTATTCTAGGGCCTGTTTGATGGGCCAGTGCACAATGCCCAGGGGTTTTTGTTGCTGAGGAAGTATTCTGCCTCTTGTATTTGAAGATCATTTTCAATATTGTTGTTCTGAGCAGTCTTTGAGAGGAAGGGAGGCCTGGCAGCACAAGGTGAGAAAGAATGATTTGAAATAAAATATCTAGAAGTGGAGACATTTGAACAAATGTGGAAGAGGACACAGTAAGGACATTTAAAACTGGACTGGACAAAACATTAGAGAATATGTGGTGGGGGAATGGAGAACAATTCCTCATTGTCTGAGAGGAGACCAAGACAACCTAATAAGTCTTTTCCACCTCTAATTTCTATGAGTGTGAACTTTTAAGATGTGAAATGAGACTCTGACTTGATGAGCTTCTTGAAATTCCTGGCTCAGTTGAATCCTAGAGACCTTTGCTCCTCATCCAGCCTGCAGAGTAGTTACAAGTATTTTGTTTCCTTCTGGCCTACATGACTGTTGGCATTAAAGCCTCTGTCTGTCTCTGAGAGGCAGGGCTGGTTCTGGGGGGACTATTCAGCAGAGGAACCAGGGGATTTGTCAGTGGTAAGAGGCTTTGAAAAAATATCATCTCAAATGAATATTGTGGTTGCATTTGTAAATGAGAAGATCAGAGGCACCCCTCCACTGCTCCATATGAAATGTCACAAATAGATAGGAGTGAGCTTCCCCTGAATGCAGGTCCTTATCAACCATCTTGGGGTAAAAGTGTCTTACAGTATATCATTCTGCATGTGAAAGGTGGTGAGCTCTTGCAATGCCTTGCGACCAACTCAACAGCTATTCTTTTAGACTTATAGGAGGTGGAGTTCTGAAGGACGAGGTGGAAGAAGAGGCCATGATGCTCCCATGATTGCATACGATGCTCTGTTAGGATGTGGTGGGGACTGGACAGAACTTTGCAACCGAGCAATGTTCCATGGGGGTGAGTAATCCTGTTGTTCCTTTATAATGTCAAGTATTTCAATCCCCTAGAGTTTAAATGGCAAAATGGTCATTGTTGTATGAGATGCAACCTTTAAGTCACGAAAAAAGGCATCTCAGCAGTAAATCTGCTGACTAAGTCAAATCTGCCATATTGCCTATTATTGATTCCTTATCAATTTCACATGATCAATGTTGTTATTATGTCAATAGCACCTGCCATTCAAGACTCGGAAAGTGCTTTACAAACATTAGTGAATTAAGCCTCACAACATGCTTGTGAAGTAGATTAATGTATACGGTTCACTTTACCACTACTTATATACAGCAACCTCTGTCTAGGGATGGCTGCTATAGAACCACACACAGAAAAACAACACAAGTGTATAAGATGGGGGAAGAAAAAGAATACTGAATGCAATTAAAACTGCAGGGAGTTTTCAGGCAGGTACTGTAGTATGTAATTACTTGAGCAGTAGTTTGTCTGGGACACTGGTTTAACACCCTTACTCTTATAAAAACCACCATGTGGTCTTTAAAGGAACACAAGTGGTTAATATCTTTGTGTTGCATCTCATGCCAAAGATAGCTCCTTCAACATCACTGTGCCCTGCCCCCTACCCTCATGCGGAATCACCAACACTGCAGATTCAGCCCAGCAGGATGCCATCAACAATCAACCTAGGCATTCCATGGAGACGCCCTGTCTAAGGTGCTGACCCAGCCCATCCCTACTTAGCTTTGTGAGAGTTAATGGGATCTCAACACACAATGCTATGGATACATACACACAGCCATTATGTGATTTTTAATTATTAATTATAATAATAAGATACATTCCCTGCCCTAAAGATCTTGCAACCTAGTGGTTTCTTCTGTAGCTACTCTTCCTTTCTAGCCCTGGGTAACTGCAATGGTTTGTTGCACCCTGAGAGCCTTATTGTAAAGGACACTGTGGCTTTATAAATGCTTATGGTGCTTTAGAGAATAGAACTTGTCTAAATTTTTAAAATTTCCTATCAAAACGTACTCCATGAACTGATTGCTGCTGACCTTTCTGGAGATGGTCAGTAGCCAATATAAATTGTGAGTTTAAGTCTCCAGCCCTTGCTTGCTCTTCAGTTGCCTATGATGTAACACTGAGCAAAGGGCTGCATATATTTGTTGACAAAACTAGAAGTAAAGGGTCAATACTAGCTACATTACTATTAGACAGATGGGATTTTGAGATTTCCTCCAATGCTCCCCACTCCCGTTCTCCAGCCATTGTATTGTAGTTTAAATAAATTACCAAAATAATTGAAACCAGCATGATTATTTTGCATTATTTTAACAAATAAAATATGCAGAATTTTAAAATATTGTGTGCAGAATTTTTAATTTGTTGGTGCAGAATTCCCCCAGGAGTACGTTATGCAGTATGACCCGTTACTGCTGGCAAAGGTGGAGGCTTGATATTCCAGTTGGTTGGTGAACTCCCTAGAGCTACTGTTCTGAGAGTCTCTTTGGCACACCACATATAAGTAAAAATCTCTGCCGTAGTGGCTTAAAACTTCCTTCTCTGTGTAGTGATATATCTGCAAAGGAGAGTGCATTTTTCACAACAACAGAACTGCACACAATTGTGTTTAATTTTACAGGTGAGAGTGCAGCCACTGGATCTATTGCCGGCTGCTTGTATGGATTGCTTTACGGCCTGAACAAGGTTCCCAAAGGCTTGTACCAGGATCTTGAACTGAGGGAGAGGCTAGAATACTTGGGCGAGTCTCTTTACCGACGATCCACAGAGGAAAAGTAAAGCAGTTTCTGCCATTTTTCTCTTTCTATACAGACTCTGTCAAACACTGTAGATAACTGACTAATTATAATAACACTGTTCTAGGCTGGTGAGGTTTAGTTCTAAAAGGCTATGTGTATAAGTGCGGTTAGCTGAGTCATTCAGGAGTAACTGGACACTGTAAATGTTCAGTTTTTCATAGACGCAGGGACTTTGAGTATCGAACTTGCTCTTAAAGTACAATTCAGGTCAGTGAGATTACTTTAAATAAAAAATATATAAATAACTAAACCCCTCTTATTATCAAAATTCTGCCTACCTTGCTAATGCCACCCCTAAACGCTATTATCAGTAGTCTCTTGTACACATATATAATTAATTTTCAAAACTAATGCTTTTTTGCCAAACTAATAGTATGATCCTTTTGTGAGGATGTTTAGTTCTCTGTAGATTTTAAACTTTTGACAATTCTTCCACCTCCCTCTTTCCTCCTCCTCACATCTAATGTCTCTGTAATACTTGCAACCCTAATGTGTCACAGATTATTCATTAATGAAATGTTAACCCTTTGTCAGCACTATGGTGTATATGTATTGTTATGTGAGAAGCTTCCAGAAAGGAAAGGCCAACACTAGCAACACTTCCAAGGTACAGCGAAGCATTATTGTGTTTAACATTTCTGCATTATTATGTTTTTTTTCACTCTAGACTCTTCAAAACTCTTTAAAAAAGTTAACTGGCTGAAATATTTGTAAATAAATTAATCTTATGCTCGTCATAAGCATCATTTCTTCATTTTTAGATCCTACTTATATGTTGCTGTATCAGTATCAGAATTTTTGGCTGAGGCCATTAAAGAGTTGTAGTACATCACCAGCCAGGCTATGATGTGTTTCATGTGACTGACATTTCCCTCACAAAGAGGCCTGGAGAGAAAACAGTAACTTTGGCTTTTAAAACAGAAAACCAACTAACTATATGGCCAAGTTAAAAATTAGTATCTGATCTGAATAAAACTAACAGTAGAACTTAGTGAATCATATTCTGATCTGTAATACTGGCATAAATCTGGAATAACTCCCATTAGTGGAATTATACTAATATTAATTCTGGAGTACTTGAGAGCAGAATTTAGCCCCATATGATTGATTCCACATTTTAGCACAAAGATTCTTAAACTGTGGTCCACAGAGAATATTCTAATGGTCCACAAAGAGCTGACTGGTCACGTGGTCCTGTTTTCTCCTCTCTATTTCCACCTGCTGACTTGCATTTAAAAAGGCAGCTAAAAATACATAAATACTTTCCTATTGCTTTTCCATATAAGCAATTGCCATCGGGATGTTATATGATAGAAAGGGGAGCAGGTGATCCATGTCATTGTGATTAGTAGGGGAGATGGTCCACACGCCAATCTCTTTATTAAAATGTGGGCTACACAATGAACAACATTGAGTTCTTGTTTTAGCATGCTCTCTATGCATCTTTGCTATGTGCTGCTTTCTCATTTTGAGCATATGTTAACATTTAAACAAAGAAGGATATTGGTTTGTAATATATGACTTTATATAAGAAACATCAAGACTTTCTGAAAACGTTCTTTCTAGTTTATGATGCCTCTAGCATTCCCCATAATAAATTCAGCAATTAAGAAGAGAGAAGAATGTAGCTCTCATAAGGTACGATTTTCTCTTGTACATCTAACTTTTCCTTTACCCAGGAAAAAATCTCAAGCGGAAAAGAAATCATCATTCCACAAAGACAGCATGCCGCATCATTAGACTTTGAAAGGTTGAACTAAACATATGGTTGCTGTGTTTTTTAAGTTAACAATTGTCAATATTGTTCTTCTAGATTGTATCAAAGCTATCCCATTATTCATCTTGCCTTACATTCATGATCAAACTTAATTTCAGAGACAGAAGAGCAAATCTAATTTTACAAAGATGGTTCACATAGACAGAAGCTATAAAGTAGGCAAATACTAACAAAACATTGTTTCCACAGTTATAGGGGAAAATAGGCCATTGGCCACCACTTTATTAAAGACATAACAAGGTTTAAACATCAGCGTGAATAAGAGTAACCACTACTGCAAAGGAACACTGTTGTTGCTTTCCCTTACTGTAGGCTATTCCTTGAACCAAATTACATGCAAAGACAGGTGCCCTCAAGATACTACGTGTGGTCCCAAGACTAAAACAGTCTTTTTGCCTCCCGGTCATGGCCGTCTGACTCAAACCAAGATTCAACTAACACTAAGTTAGAGCTGCTGATAGTCAACTCCTGGAAACTTCTATAAGTGGGCTTATCTTGTGGTACAGAGTAACCTTCATTTCCCAGTAACAAATCACCAACCACCTTTCCCAACAAACTTTGAACCAGCGTTACTATTGAAGCCTCTCTCCACTCGATGTATTAAAACTTGCGAGCACTAAGAAAAAGGTGCTGAAACAAGAGCCAACTCACTGATTACTCCTGACCAGACAATAACTTAACATTACCCAGTGTAGAGAAAAGAAAATACAACTGGCTAGTGCAAATAGGATACAAATAACCTAATTTATCAGAACTTAAATCACATGTAGCAATCACAAACCATATGGCCAGGCCTGTCTGTCTGAACATTGCTGTGTGAGCAGGTAAGAAAAGCTTTCTAATAGGGGCAAGTGGGCATGAGAACCAGCATAGCTCCTGCCAAGTGTTCTCTCTCCCCCACCTATAGCCACCTTCAGCCAGGCAGTGGGAGTTTTATGTGGGTCAATGGGGTGACCAATCATGCAGCTCATAGTAAAACAACTTGTCCTGATTGGCTGCCCAGGCTGAAGCTATTGTAGCCCTCACTTGATGACCCTGGCTAGGGTGGCTAGGGCTGCATACTGTATAGGGGGTGAAGAATGGAACAGTGTAGTGGGAAATACTTGTCATGCAAAGGAGCTAAGTAGAAGCCTTCTTTAGTTAGGATGACAGTTTCACTCTGTCTAATGCAGCTTTACGTGGCCTCTTAAAAGCTGAGCACCTCTTCGAGAAAATGAAACCATTTGTACCCCTGCAGTCCTGCCATGTCAGCAAGGCGGCATGGGGGGAACCTGCACTGCCCCTGTTCTGCACTCCCTGCTTGCCTAGTCCTCTCTGAGATACATTGGCATAATAATGCCTAAATGGAAACCCAAGTAGTTGAGGGCCAAGAATTAGTTTGTTTCTTTTTACAAAAGGTTTTGACAAAATCTACTGTGAATATTTCGTGAAAGTTCTGTGTTGTTGTTGTTAACAACCCCTGGATACACTGTTGTTGTTGTTGTTAATGCAAGCCTTCCCTTGCAGCGCTGGCAAACCATGGTGCTCCTACTGCATGCCAGCCAGCGAGACTGAATGGCTTAGTATGGGCTGAAGAGCACTAAGAAGGGCAACGCCCAGCACCCACCTACTGATGATAAAAAGGAGAGCTCCCCAAGCCTCTAAAGTGTATGTTTGTTGGAAACTACCCTCCCTCTGCAGGACTGCATAGGCACTACTGCTGGTCTAGGGCTCCAGAAACCCCCACAATCCCAGAACAGAGGCAAGAAGGGGGCCAGGATCCAGGGGTTGTTCATCGGGTTAGTAAACATATTTGTATGAGCTCCCTCTCCCTGGCCTACCTCCAGCAGCTCTTCCTGCTCAGGTGCTGAACACATCTCCTCTGCCCCCATAGGCACAGGGTCTGACCGTTCTCAGGTCTGTGACATTACAGTGTCTGCTATGAAGGCTTTCACTGGGCTAACCCAGTCACTGGGATTAGATTGCATTTCAGCCTGCTAGTGTATCAGGCTTTTGGTACTCAGATACTACAGTGATGAGTGTCACAGAAGTGCCTGTGATTAAATAAGAGAGACAAGGTTGGGGAGGTAATATCTTTTATTGGACCAACTTCTGTTGGTGAGAGAGACAAGCTTTCGAGCTTATACAGAGCTCTTCTTCAGGTCCGGGAAAGGTAATCAGTGTGTCACAGCTAAAGACCAGGTGGAACAGATAGTTAAGCATAAGGAGTTAACTCATGTTGAAAGAAACCTTACACACAACTATATACAAGACACCCTCACATCACCACACTTACCACCACAGATCCAGCAACCACCCCAAACACACCTAGAAATCTGGTCTCTACAGCCAGGCACTCAAATACCACAGAATATGCTCTGAGGAGAAAGTCCAAGATATACACTTTAACACACATAAAACCGTCTTCACCATATAAGGATACTCCACCAGAGAACTAGATCACATCATGGAATGGGTCATCCTAATTTCCTGAGAGAACCTGCTTCAATACAGAAAAAAAGTCCACTGACCATGTACCCCTAGCTGTCACCTATCACCCCACGCTGGAAGCCATATGAGGTATCATCAAACAATTACAACCCAAACTTGATGGGGATCACATCTTGAGAGAAATCTTTACCAAACCCCCTTTTCTGGCCTTCAAACAACCCCCCAACTTTGCCAAACTCATCGTCAGAAACAAGCTCCTCACAGACCAGGACACACCAACTCAGAGCGGCACCACACCCTGCCAGAACAGATGCAAAACCCGTAGCCATATTTCCACTGCTACAATGTTCAATATCCCCCATAGGAACCTTTCAAGATCCATGGGTACTACACTTACCTATTGCAACATATGGTATACCTCATCTAGTGCATCAAATGCCCTAGCAATCACTATAGGGGTGAAACCAGACAATCTCAACACTCTCAAATAAACTCATACAGAAAAATGATAAACGACAAAAACATTACCCATGAGTGAACTCTTGTCATAAAATAATAACTCCATATCTGACCTCTCAGTCTACACCCTCAAAGGAAACTGACACAACACCTTCAAGAGGCGAGCCTGGGAGCTTAAATTCATAACTCTGATAGACACCAGAAATCATGGATACAATAGAGATACTAATATTTATCTTGTATCAGAGGGGTAGCTGTGTGGCAATGTAAAGACTAACAGATTTATTTGGGCATAAGCTTTCATGGGTAAAAAACCCACTTCTTCAGATGCATGGAGTGAAAATTACAGATACAAGCATAAATATACTAACACATGAAGTATATGTCTTATTACAACAATCTGTAAACTATTAACTCACCTTTGTCCTATGACTGCAGAGGTGTTAATTGCCCACTTCATTTTGAATGGTTTCTTGCAATGTGTTAACTCCTTATGCTCACCTTGTATTTAGCTGCAACATTCTGAGTACCTTTCCCAGACCTGAAGAAGAGCTCTGTGTAGCTCAAAAGCTCACCAACACAAGTTGATCCCATAAAAACTACTACTTCACCCACCTTGTGTCGTTCCTGTTCTGGGACCAACATAGCTATAACACCACTGCAAACAACTATGCATAAATAAGTAAATTGCCTGCTTGCCTCTTGAAAATATATTTTTGCTGAGTGGGTGGGGTTCATTTAAAATAAGCAAATGAACAAGATCTTTTGAAACTGGTCTTAGATCATTTAAAATAAGCAAATGAACAAGATCTTTTGAAACTGGTCTTAGATCACCTGGACACACAAGTGATCAGCCCGTTCTGACATTTAAAATCATGTAGTTAGGACAAAAATATCCAGAAAATAGCTCATCTAGATCTCCTAAGGCAGATGGCAGCATAATTTTTAAAAATGGCTTTTGTAGGGAGGGAAGAGAAGCCTGGTACAGTAGAACCTCAGAGTTACAAACACCAGGGTTACAAACTGACCAGTCAATCACACACCTCATTTGGAACCGAAAGTATGCAATCAGGCAGCAGCAGACACACACACAGAGAAACACAGTACAGTACTGTGTTAAACATAAATTACTAAAAAATAAATAAAGGGAAAGCAGCATTTTTCTTCTGCATAGTACAATTTCAAAATTGTATTAAGTCAATGTTCAGTTATAAACTTTTGAAAGAACAACCGTGGCGTTTTGTTCAGAGTTATGAACAACCTCCATTCCCGAGGTGTTCATGACTCTGATGTTCTACTGTATGCGTTAGTGCTGCCCACTGCCATGGGGGAGTTCCAGGTTCCAGTTCCAGAATGCTATTACCTCATTCCCTGGCCTAGCTCATAGCCTGGGGTAGTGCCTTGCACTTCTCAACAAAGAACCCTCTGACTGTTTATGAAATGGTGTTAACAGACTCCCACTATGCACAACAACCCTAAGGGACCATTCTGCCCAGTTTCTCTCAGCTATAATGACAGGTGGTTATAGTCCAAGGAGTGAAGGACAGGTGTTGGGATAATATTAGGGATGAAATCTTGACCCCATTGGTATCCAGGTCAAAACTTCCATTCAATGTGGTCATGATTTCCCTGCAGGACTTTGTGCAGTAGACTCTCCCTTAGGAAATGCATTGGGGCTTTTTAATGCTGTGACAATAGTATCAGCATTCCCCCATGTCCCCACACATCTGTGTTTATTTTAGAGA